ACTATGCCATTCTGATGAGTGATATTGATAATGAAGGAAATTGGGTATGTTTGGGGGGGCAAAAGATAGATGCGAAATCTCTGTACCTTCCTCTCAATTTTACTGTAAACCAAATAGTAGAAATATTAAGTCAAACACATTTTTTTAACTTAATGAGGAAGCATCTTCCCAAATTATTACCGAAACATGAATTTCATTGCCTTGGGTCTTAAAAAAGAAAGAAAAGAAATCGAGGGATGATCTCACATCAGTAGCAATGTGCACTCGTATGCAGCCAATGGTTTCAGACTGCATTATGCTGCGCTTCTTCTTGACATCATGGGCAGACCAACCACGTGGAGCACCAAATTGTCAGGCCCTCTCTCTGAGCCACAGAGGTTTTTTGTTATGAGTCTGTGCCCATCCCTGAAATTGCTTTTATTTTGCTAGCATTTGCATTTCTAGGTCAAAATTAATGGATGTCCTTAATGTTTTTGGTACACAGCCATCAAATGTTTTCATTAAATGTGCCTATTAACACTGCTACCCTCAGGTCTTGACGAATTCACCAAGCATGTGCTAACCCTGCATAGTATTCTTTTTAACACCTCTGTGGGTTTGATAGGGTAAAAGTTATTTTCTCTTCTGTTTTTCCATCGGTGGTGGCAGCCACAGAGGTCCCCGCTTGGGTTTCTCTTCAAGGAAGAGCTTGCCTAAGAGTGCAGTTAACTGGCACCTTGCACCTGATGTGTCTTCAGGGTTAGTTTCAAGATTGGAGCCAGGGCTCTACTCCTCCCAGCAACAGCCAAGCCAATGACTAAGCATAGTGGGCTGTATTAAAGCCTGGCCATTGTTGTGTGACTTGGGACTCCTTCAAAAATATTTTTGCTCCAGGAACCACATAGGTTTGACAGAGATAAATCAGAACTGCCTGATCCTGCATTCTCTCCTCTTCACTTGCATGGGTATCAGACCTGCGCACAGTCTGATGGGCTTTCCTGCCTAATCTTATTTCATGCCTGTTATGAACTGAATGTTTGTGCCACTCCTAAATCCATATGTTAAAACGCAAGCCCCAGTGTGATGGTATTTGGAAGGGGGGCTTTGCGAGGTGATTAGATCATGAGGGTGAAGCCCTTATAAAGAATATTAGTGCCCAATATAAAAAGAGGCCAGAGAGTGAGCTTACTCTTTCCATGAGGATACAAGGTCAGCCATCCACAAGCCAGAAGAGGGCTCTCTCTCACCCGAAAGTACTGGCACCCTGATCTCAGACTTTCAGTTGCCAAAGCTGTGAGACATCAACTTCTGTTCTTTTTTAAGCCAAGCCATGGTTTACAGTATTGTGTTACAGCAGCTAGAACTGACTAATACAGTGCTTTCATCTTTAAGGCATCAAGCCTCAGTGAGCCAATTTGGCTCCTAACTCTGTTTCAGAGTCTATTCCCCAGAGGACACACCCCACAGACCTGTCACTTTCCATTCACTTACAAATTAAAAAAGCCAAATGCTCAATGGTCTTTGTACATTTTTTTTTCTAATACAAACCTTTAAAAAAGTATTCTTAATTTGCTTCTGCATAGTACTTATGAGGGAGCACCCTGGCCCCCACCCCCACAAAGAAAAAGAAGTATCTTCTGGAAGGAGGGTCGCTTATAGTACAGGCTTCCCTCACTAGGTGACTGTTCTAGGAACCCACCTGTATCAGTGTGCCAACTAGTGTTGTTGTGAGAGGCTGCATTCGGCGTCAGTGAATTTTTCTGAATACTCTTTCAAACCTTTTGCTCATTTCATGATGGGTGATTAATGAGCACACCTGCCCACACTGAGCTGAGCGTTCAGCTGTTTTTGACCAAAAACAGCATGACCGCCGTGCCCCACCCTCTCTATTCACCCAAGCTTTCCCTGAGAGACATTTTTTCCCCCACTGGATTAAAAAAGTCTTCAAGGGAAATATTTTGCCCATGTGGAAGACAGGAAACACAATATAACAGAAACACTAAAAGGCATCAAAACTGACAAGTTCAATAACTATTTTGAGTATTAGAAAAAATGTCTTGATAGGTCTATTGCATCAAATGAAGGGTACTCTGAAGGTGACTGAAGTTTAAAACATGTAAGAATAAAAACACTATTTTTATCAATTAATTCCATTTCGGAGGGGGCCCTCCCTTGTATATTCTCCTACACACATACACACACAGTCACAACAATCTCAACACTTTTTTAAAGATTGAAAAGACCTCACGGATAGAGTCATTCTTAGACTCTATGGGAACAACTGACACTCTGCTGTCATTGGAGCACACTCAAGTGTAACCACACCAGCATCAACACAATGTTTCCATTTCACTCCTACCCATTTCTGTTTGGGTGGAAGAACTCAGGCTGACTCCTTATAGGCTATCTAATTGAGCCTCTATTTCTTTCTGCTTTGGGTCTGCTTTTGTTTAAAAACTCAACTGATATTGATTGAGCAACTACTGTGTACACTGGTCAAGTATCATTTCTCTCCATTACATTTCTCATGATCGTACAGTACTTGCTAAAATATAACTCAAATAATTTTGTACCTGTCAAATTGGGAATGATAAAACTAAAAGGAAGGAATGTAGAAACAGACACTCATATGGTGGGTAAAGTGTAAATATTAATTAAGTGTTGCTAACAACACTTCATTAAGCAAATGACCGCATAAGTCAATGAGACTTAGAAGTACCAAATCCTCTGATTTAGAGGGGCGGAGGGGGTTTGTATGATCTGTATCTCATGGTAATTTATTCTTGAGATATGAATTATTTACATGACATCAGAATGTTTTTTCTATTTATGTTGAAAATAAAAATCTGTCCTCAAAAATGGATTGTGAGATGCTTGCATGATGAGTTTAACCTTTGTGACTTTTTCTCCTTGTATTTAATTCAGTGCCTGGGACAGAGTGAATGCAGAATGGATATTGGCTGGATTAACACTGGTGTTATACTGGAAATGGTGAACAGAAGATCCCACTGAACAAATAGTCAAGGAGCAAAGGAGAAAATGATTCAACTCCACTTAAATAGTCAACACGTTCCTGTTTTACAGAAGCCCCTGTATCATAATTATTAACTATGAAAAGTGAAGTTGGAGAGTATTGTGCTAAGCGAAATAAGCCAGGCAGTGAAAGACAAATACCATATGATCTCACCTATAAGTGGAACCTAATCAACAAGACAAACAAATGAGCAAAATAGAACCAGAGACATGGAAATAAAAAAACAAAGAGAAAATGACCCGAGGGGAGGGGGGATAATGGGAGGAAGAAGGTGAAGGGGCAAGTGAGGGAACACCTATAAAAAACCCATGGTCAAGGACAACGGGGTGGGGGGGCAGGGAGGGTTGAATGTGGGGGGGTGGGCAGGGCAGGGGAGCACAGTGGGGCAAAATGGGGACCACTGTAATTGCACAACAATAAAAAAAAAGTGAAGTTCAAATATATCTTACAGTAGCTTTGAAATTAAGGGTCTGGCTGTTAGATCCAATTCTAATCCCAATTCTGTACTATGACTTTGGGTAAGTAATAAGACATATCCAGACTTTTTTTTTTTTTTCCTGTAAAATCCAGAGCTCTGCCAGATCCCCAGGGTCATCAAGGAGCCCAAATGAGATGGAGTTTATGACAGTTTCCTCCTTCTCTGAGGAAGACTATGTAATTATGCCCCTAATTAACACATTTTAGAAAAGTTCTTTCTCATTTCCAAATCTAAATTCAACTTTAAGCCGTGACCTATTTATGTACAAATGCATTTTTGCTCACTTTTAAATGTATGAAGATTGTACTCTTTGAATTAAAGAAAAGAGAGGCTTTAAATTTTTAACTTGATTAATAATTGACTTCATGGTACAACATGAAAATCTATCTCAATAATGCTGAAAACTCATGAATCAAAGAGATGATATTACATGTGTATGTAGCTGTATATTAAATTTTTCTACTTGGACATTTGCAGACTAAACCACCAGATACAGAAGAAGAATAAACACAAAAGATATTGTTATTTATGATAATTTTAAGTGTGTCACCAAAATAGCCCATGGATTATAAAAAGTCTAACAAAATGGCTTTACTCTCTAAGTATATTATTAAAATTAATGAGTTAAAAAAAATTAATGTGTGCTTTCCACTCACATGCCTCTTACTGGAGACCTGGCCTGCAGCCCTGGCATGTGCCCTGACTGGGAACCAAACCAGCGACCCTCCAGTTGACAGGCCAGCATTCAATCCACTGGGCCACATCAGCTGGGGCTTATTAAAATTAAATAATAAAAATATTCATCTTCCTTTGTAAAATCTATTATTTTATAAAATTATGGTTTCTAAAATCTGTACCACCAGACTCAGAATATTAGCCAGGTTCAATATTGGTAATAATAATAAAACATTACCTATAATATAACAATATATTAGAATACATAATAATATCTTCATAAAAAAAACTAGTGGGTAGATGTCAGCATCTGTTTTACAAAGGAGGAATCTTATAGCAAATAAAATATCTATTTATTGAATTGTTACTGTGTGTCATACACCGTATGGCTGATATTTATTGCTTTATCTGATCTTGATCTTCACACTATGAGGTAGGTTCCATGCCCACTTTACAGATGTGCAGGTTGAAACTTAGACAGATTTATAAGCCAAGCATCGTATAGCCAGTGTATAGTAACTAAATTTATTCTTAAATTTGATATTTAAATCTGCCTGATGTATAGGCCCCTTTTCCCCCCAGGATAAAAAATGGTGATAGGCCATCTGTTAAATAGGCGATATTGTGCAAAGAGACTGCAATTTGTTTTAATCAGTATCAAAATGATTGTTGGGCTTGCCAGGCACCTCACACTGCACAGAAATAACACATTCAAATATTATTGATACAGGCAGTAAAGTACTTAACCGTAACATTTCATAATCCAAATCCCAAGAAAAATGTTTCCCTGAAGCAATAACATGGTGAATAGAATTCAAAATTTAGCTCACAAACCTGTTTCAGGCTCAATGGAAAAATAAGGCTGCCCTTCCAAGATACTGTAAACCAACTTGGCACTGTTTCCATAAACCGGGTCATCAGCATCGGTGGCTGTTACATTTGTGACAGACGTACCTAAAAAAAAAAAAAAGGAGAGAGCAAGAAAGATAATAATTAACACATGATTCTTTGCCAAAAGCTAAAATTTGCTAAGCCTATCATACAGAAACCCATGTGTGGGAATAAGGAAGAAAAGAAATCTTTTTAAAGATATGGAGATAACTACTCCATCATAACTTCAACGATATTTAAGTCTTTTAAAAGGAAGAGTACTGTTGGATTGGAGTACTATATAAAGATAGCCCTTTAGAACCTGTTTTATTTAAGATTCCTATGTAGTTTTCATTTTAAAGCTACTATCAGACTCATGTAGGCTTGGAGAATATTGAAAAGGAAACATACCAAAGAAATATGAAGCATAAGCTTAATAATACAATATAACACGTAGCATTGAAGTTTTGCAAAAGCACAACTGAATATGTTAAAAAATGGCTGCTGGTAAAAGCTGTCCAGAAACATCAGGGGGATAGTTTATCCGTCTTATTTCATTCCCCAGAATATAAAGTTAGACTGGAACCACCAATTCATCCGTACATTTAGGTAATGAGGCCTATGGATAATAGAAGCAAAATCTTTTTTTTTTTCAGATTAATTATCTATTTTTTTATTCCCTCATTCAGTACCTAAGCACAATAGTTTTTTGGATATGAAGTATATATACTAGAACATATACAAAGACAAAATCTAGAGGCAGGAAGTTTACAGTTTGGTGGAAGGAAAGAAGAGGAGGGGACAAACAGCCGTGTAGAGAAATTCAGCTGAATGCAATAGCACCAGGTTTGGATCCCCTTAGTCCAGCAGGGAGGGCGGCCAGGAGCAGCCTTCTGAGAGATGTAGCATCTGAGTTAAGTTACTCAAGACACATAGACATTAACCAGAAGGAGGGCAGGGAAGAAATTCTAAGCAATGTCTCATATAAATGAAGGCAAAATGCTCTGGGAGACTGTGGGTCATTCTGGGAACTGCTGAAACCGGGAGAAATGGGAGAGGTCTGGTGTGATAGCAAGCACCGTGTTCTACAAGCACAGCGTCAATGTCTTCCTGATCCAGCGTCGGACACAGGAGGATTATCAAACATATATTTGCTAATGGAATGAGTGGATGAGTGAATAAACCATCTGACAATGTCATCAGGTATGGCAGGGAAGCACCCCAGCTGAGTTTCCTGGAGAGTAGACTGAGATAGAGATTTCTTGCAGAATTTGTACTGGGGCGTCCCCTTTCAACAATATCTGAGGAAAAGAAAGGATAATATTGGGCCGAAGGGGCACTTGGGCTCTGCTGCTGTCACAACAAAGGCCTCAGTGGCCTCCACTGGGGACTCTAGAGCTGGGATGTCTTTGATGAAACGGGGCCAGGCTTCTAGAATCCCCCAGGAAGGGAGCCTTGACCTTGGCCAGGCAGCTTTCTTCAACTGCGGGACAAGCAGCCCAGGGCCACCTACATGAACACTCCTAGCGATGACGGCAAGAGCCTTCCTCCTGTGAAGGAAGTCAGGGATGGGTCTGAGCATTATGCTTCTGTGTTTACTTCAGGTAGAGCTTTTGCAAGATCCTGCCAGTCAAAATCTTTGATGCATTTTCAATTATGGATGCTACACAGAAAAATGTTAACAGTAATATTTTCTGAGTGGTTGATAGGCCTGTACCTCTGAAATTTCTACTCAGGATAATGATTCAGAGGTTCTATAAAATCTACAGTGAGAAGAAAATATGCACTGAATGTCACTCCATCAGACGAAGAAAACCATATTATAAAAACAAACTTGAGACTCATTTTCACTAGCAACTCATCAACTAGCTGGGGAAAGTAAGCACGTGAAAGTACAACATGTGTAGTTATTTGAATACCGTGTGGAATAACGAAGAACTGGAGCAATAAACTTCCCCAGTGAGAGGGGAGTGTGGAGATAAAAGTTCCAAAATAATTTGTTAAGAGGAGAAAAGACTGGAAAGATTAGCCATCAAAGCTAAGGTTGAAGATGCAAAACGAAGGGTGGAGTATTCACAAGATACACGAGGCATTTGAGTGCCCAGACAGTGGAAACATTTTCATCTAGAGATCAGTCCTACATGGTGGGCCTCCACCTTCTCGTGTTCCTAGACTCGAGTGGAGACAGGGATGCAGATGATTATAGGTCAGACTAGCTACGAGGTGATGGCCGCAGTCCGGATAAGAGGCAACAAAACCTTAACACTCGGTAATGACGTGAAAGGTGGACATCAATGTGAATTTTCTTGTTTGGGCCCTTGCACTAAGTGTACATAACACATTCACATGGGGGTAAACTGGGCAAGGGGTATACAGGGACTCTTTTGGCAACTTTTCCTTGAGTCTAAAATGAGTTCCACAAAAGTTCAAGAACGAATTCGCGAGCCACCGAAGCAACTGACAGAGGTCAGAGGCTGAGAAGGGCGCGCTCCTCCATCAGCGAGCTTTTGGAGCAGAAGGACATGCCCTGAAGTTTTGTTTTGCTATGCTTTTTTGTCTTGCTGTGTTTTGTCGTGTTTGCTCTGATTTTTTTCTTTTTTTTTTTTTTTTTTTTGAGGAGAAATATTTTTTCCCCATTGTGAAGCAACACATTATCAGAAAAATAAAGTCAAGTTTTATATGCAGTATGATGTGAAGTTAATGGGTATGAGCACTCCGTTCCAATCACTGCACAGGCACCGGAAAAAAAGAGAATGGAACAGATAGTTAAAAACCCCTGTCATTACCAAAATTACCTTCTAGTGGATGAGGGTTAAACACAATAATATATGTAGGGGCCTAGCACCGAAATTACCACATGCTAGGCCTGAGAGTAGCCATTCTGCCAGCTTATCAGAATCCAGCCTTGAAAAATACTTAGATCCCCATGGTCCCTTTCAGATCTACAGGGTGGCAAATAAAGATGATGGTGGAGAGTTTTCAAAAATCTTCTCAGGCAACTCTGATATAAAGCTATAGTTCCAAACAATTACACTGTGCACCGGACTTTTTAAAAATGAACTTCAGGCCTGGCTGGGTGGCTCCGTTGGCTGGAGTTTTGTCCGCATATCAAAAGGCTTTGGGTTTGATCCCTGGTAAAGGCACATGCGGGAGGCAGCCGATCAGCATTTCCCTCGCACATCAGACTCTCTCTCTCTCTCTGTTGTGATTACTTGGAAGAGCTCTTACTCAGATGTGCTTGCAAAGTCAAGTCTTTTTTAGACCATTCATTCTGCATAAAGAACCACAGAGATGATTTTTTGTTCAATGGGAGTTGGGGAAATTTCCTCGGGAGTTTACTACGACAGGACTTATCATAATCATATCTACTTTTGTTGGTTATTGTAACTTGATGCTGTCCTATAACGAGAGGCATCCTGTGGGCACATTACCAAACACTGAGGAGAGAGTAAGGTGACAAATCTCCATTATTTGCATGCTCTGTGATTTGGGTTTTTTTCATGCATGAAGATGGTAATTTTTATTCTGCCAATCTCACAGATTTGTGTGAGGATCAAATAAGAAAATATTAAGTATAGAAGACTGGCTGAGAAGGTAAATGTAGAGTCAAACTGTCTTGAACCAGATGATTTGGTTTATATTACATTCCCAACTTTTACTAATTCTGCTTCCTGAGCCAAGTAACAAAACATTTCTGAGCTGCAGCTCCTTAATCTGTAAAAAAGGAAGGTGATAGTAATTGTTACATCCTAGGCTTGTTGAGATAATTAAATGCAATAATTTATGCAAAGGGTACAGAAGAATTATTAACACAATATTTCTGAGAACTTACTGTCACAATTCTGGGTACATTATGTGTATGCATGGGTGAGACTGTATAATAAACCAGTTTTAAATGGTGGTGATGTTGTAATTCATACATGTAGTTCTGTCTGCCTAATCGTTTTTATAGTAGGATATTTCCTTACATTGCGGGGGGTGGGGGAGGGCGGGCACAAAACGATACTCCTAAATGTAACAATATGTTCCTGTCCTTTTACAAAAGAAAACACCCACACATATACACAATCTCTTATCGTCCCATCCAGTCCTGCTCAGGTCTGTATCTTATGTGACAGGAAATTGCTTTGGGCTCAAAAGTCAAATGCGGTTTGATGTTGTGAGCACAAAGGCAGGCACTGGGCTCATCGTCCATGTCACTTTCTTGACGCCATTTGAATGGATGTCATTCCAATCTCCCAGCCCATGCAAATCCCGCACTCTTGCCAAGATGAACTCCTGGGCTGGGAACCGCAGCAGAGCTCAGGCCGGCTTTTACCCACATCCTCATCTGGGGTATTTCTGCCTGGTGCGTGGCTTCTCGGGAAACCCGCCTCTTTCACCTTGAGACGCCTGGAAATGAAAAGGTAGCATGACTTTCCGTCAAGGATGGTATGTCTCCTAATAGCGATTCAAGGCTGTTGATACACGTGAACGTGGGGAGAGATGTGTGTGGAGGTTTTGTGGATGCATTTGTCAAGTGATTACCCGGAGTGGGGAAAATGGATGCTTTGAGGTTAATCTTGCAGGCGAAAAGATTTCCCGTCAAGCTGCGGTGTAGGCTTCTCCATGGAAATGCATGCAGAGGGCAGAGCACAGAGGCAAATTGAAAAGTGTAAACCTTGCAGGATAATGTTTCTTCAAAGCAGCAAGTGTTGGTGTGTGATAAATAAGACCCTGGGTAATACCCACAAAATATAACAGGATTCTCTGTTTGTGTTTTCATTTGGAACTGTTTTTGTCCCTTTGTCGAGGATACAAGAGACTCATTTAGCTAGTGACTATAAATTTGACACTGTGCCATTTCTCCAAGAAAGCCTCTATTATAGGCCAACTCGATGCTGATCCTATTATAATAATATGGCTGTTGTATTTCCAGCTGTTGTCAACAAAAATGATCCCTGTCACCACAATTCACCCTGCCAGGAACGAGTCAAGTATGAACTCGTCAATTCCAAGGTGAATTCCGCTTTTAATAGACCCATTTTTCTGCATTCTGTTTTTTGGTTGAGTCTGGCCAGGGTGCTGCTTGGACTTGAACGAAC